TGTATAGTGCAATCTTAAACTCGTCATAATCGTCGCGGCGTTAAGACTGCGCGGTTGATCTCATGCGATTTTTACTACTACTCTTATCGCTAGGTCCTTTTCCTATTCTCTACTCTATTTTTCGCTACTCTTATCCGTATTTACTTGTTCATTCTTTTTCTCTCCTCTATCCTCTTCTATATCTGATCTATTTGCTCTAATCTACTGTTTTTTTATCTCACCAGTCACTTTCTTTGTAATTTTCTAGCTCTTGCTTATACATTTTGCTCTCTTTAATGTCTAGTTTAATACTAACTATGCTTTGCAGTTAGCCTGCAAGCATGCGCACACCCCTCCCCTCGTATCTAAAAACCTCTAACGTTCCTAAAAACCAAATAGTTGGATTTTTAAAACACTAAAGATATATATGTACATATATATGTTCGTNTACCTCAAGAGGAAGACTCCAGCCACACTAGCTTACAAAGTCCGGTCCAGAGGAACAGGAGACAGCATACCGGACACTCTCCCCCAGGGATCGAGGACATAGGGTCTGAGGACGAAAGGGGGAATGCACCTCTGGGTGGAGACACCCCTAGAAGTTTAAGGGATCCCTCAGGATCCAGGACAAGACGCCTTCCACCAAGCCTAGGCTTCCCAGGATGGGAAGAGCCCCCCCGGGGACAGGGCCTATATAGATATTACTTTATTAAGAGCAATTAAATATTACCAATATCAATTATGTATTCTTTGATGTCTTGCATCTGTCGGGGGCCCTGAGACACACTGCGGGTTTTTTTAATATAAGAAGGCTACGTCATGTTATAAATACCCATTGAATCGACATTGGCTGTATGCACCGATCTTTTATGCAAACAAAGTCTTGGTGGTAACTTACGTTATTTAAATAACAATAATAACTAGTTCAAGTGTTCATTATATTCACTCATGCGTGCACAAGTAAACAGTAGACAGTGTACACACACACATGCATGCAGGCTTTTATGCACAAGAAGTTTCGTGACACATACGTATACGTTTGTACTTAATTGCTTATGAGCACTTACTTTGCCCACGGCAATATGCATACGTAACAGTATATACTGACTTTACATATAAGAATCTGAAAGCGAACAGTAAGACTTGTATTGGACTACTAACTTATTTTTTTAATTAAAGTGCGAGAGAAAGTTATTGTCAGATCAAAAGATAGCGAGAGAGAGAGAGAGAGAGAGAGAGAGAGAGAGAGAAATTGCGAGAGAAAAAATATTGTCAGATCAAGAGATAGCGAGAGAGAATAGAAAGCTGCAGTGTCCCCGTCGTCGAAGATCATCACCGCGAGGAGAAGACCCAGGACGAGAAGCAGAGCGACTGCAGGACGAGAGAAAGAGAGAGTAGGCGAGCAGGACGAGAAGAAGAGCAGCTACAGGACGAGAGAGAGAGAGTAGGACCGCCGCCGTCAGCTCCACAGACTCACCAGCAGCCCGAGGCCCAGCCGGACGCCATACGCTGTTGCCGCGAGCCGAGAGCCGAAAGGTAGCGTGTTTTCCCTCCGTTCTTTTTTGTGCGTCGTGCTAGGGCTCGTGAGCGCCGGTAGGCCTTCGGGACTAAGTCCCGGAATATACAGAGGACTGAGAGAGAGAGAGAAAGAGAGAGAGAGATAGAGAGAGAGAGAGCCAGGTTACGGAAAGTCCCGGATGCATGCTCGGGAGTGCCGAATCTTGGGGGTGTTCGCGCGTTTTTCGATGTAGGTGTGTAGAAAGGACGAGAGAGAGAGAGGGAGAGAGGACCGGGACTAGGGACTGAGAGGGATAAGGAGCAGGTTAACGAGGGACATTGATAGTGTGTGAGAGAGAGAGAGAGAGAGAGAGAGACAGGGTGAGAAAGGTTGCCAAGGGACGAGAAGAGAAGGGCGCGATAGCAGAGAGCAGGTGTGTAGTGGACAGGGAAAGGACAGGGACGAGAGATTACGTGTGAGGGCGCGCGCGTGTATGTGTGCGTGACGTGGCTGGAAGCGTTAGGGCAGCGGCCCCTCCTGGTCTCAATTTCTAAAGACAGGACCCCGAACGTGCGCTCGCGGTTCACGCGGTGAGGTGGAACCGCTGTAGCGCTGTCGAGGAGTTGTGTAGAGCCGTGTGGCGAGTGCAATAAACAATTTCCTTATTTGACACGGTAGCATTCCCAAAGTTACTTTCTCTCAGTCGAACGAGAGGATGAATCCCGTACAAACTCCCCGTTTCAGGAGCGGAATCCAAGAGGACGAGGGACTCGGAGGACGCACAGGACGAGGCAATCCACTTTCTGCGTACGCCCCCCCCCTTTTTATTTCCAGGTACAAAGGCAATTATGACAAAATGGCATCCCAGTGTGGGGACCGGTGCGGGACTTGGTGATTTTTCCCTATAGTAAGTGTTTCCCCCAAGCGTGCGGCAGGTGGCGCGAGTGAGTGACATAGTGGGAGCGTAGTGTAAGACGTAGATAGGGAAGTGTGAGAGTGGACTAGGTGTCACAGGCGACAGTGAGCGAGCCCTACAATTTTCAATAAAAATAATTAAGCGACAGTGCGACCCTAGTAAGTAGTAATTACATATAATTATATATATAATAATAATAAAATAATAATAACAATATACGGACTAGTAGTAATAATCGCGTAGTTGCGCATTAGTGCGGGCAGCTGCACAATCTGGACGGTGAGCTCGGTCGATAACGCGATAGAGTCGCGAACGACCTTGTAGCTCCCAAGTGAGAAGCTGATAGTGGATACTATTGCGGACACCCAAATTATCCTTAGTGTTGTGACATCCCCGGACTAGTGAGAAGGGAACAGGACGTACGTGAGCCGGGTAGATCTCGCAGAGGAATCGCGGATCCCCGAGTCTCCGTACACGGACTTACGTGAGCCGTGCGACTGTGCTATCGCAGCTGGTCCACCGAGTCTCCGTAAGGCCGGTAATTATTATACTGTAGGACGCTAGATGGCGACACAAGGTCAAAGCATGGACGACTTTGTGAGAAGATCTAGGGAGGGCCGGTTCATAAGGCGCACGGTCCAGAATATGTCTATTTTGGAAGTTCAACGGGAACTGCGTGCACGGAGACTCACGGGCCGTGGGGACGAGGACGCCGTGCGAGATCGCCTACTGAGGCACCGGCTATTCGAGTTGTACCCGCACAGTGAGGAAATCCCGATCTACTTCGGGGACCTCATGATGTCGCAGCAGCTAGATGGCCACACCGAGGAGGAACATGAGTCCCTACCTCAAGAGGAAGACTCCAGCCACACTAGCTTACAAAGTCCGGTCCAGAGGAACAGGAGACAGCATACCGGACACTCTCCTCCAGGGATCGAGGATATAGGGTCTGAGGACGAAAGGGGAAATGCACCTCTGGGTGGAGACACCCCTAAAAGTTTAAGGGATCCCTCAGGATCCAGGACAAGACGCCTTCCACCAAGCCTAGGCTTCCCAGGATGGGAAGAGCCCCCCCGGGGACAGGGCCTACGCAAAGAAACGAGCGGGAGGGAGCTGCAGGGTCAACACCACGTCCGAGAGGAGTACCCTCCGACAGGGACCATCACTTCGTGCGCGACGTCTACCGCCACGACAACAACATACACCATGACCAGGCCAGTCACAACTCCTTCCCAAGGAAGACAGCAGATAGGCTCATTCGGAGACCTTCTCAAACCCCCGGACACCCACTCTACACCGTACCCCAAACCTCGGGTGATCGGAGACCAGTTCCTGGTCCCTCCCCAAATGGAATATTATTCAATGCAGCACCTAAACACCGTGATGCAGAACACTGGGATCCCTAGATTGGTGGGCTCCTAGTTCAAAGCCCAGACATCGGTGTATGCTAGAAGCGCGGCATTCATGTTGGATCCACGCGCCCCGCCAAAAGAAGTTCTGGACGTACCCGTGGGAGGGACAAGTGCGCGAATCTATAAGGACGAACCAAACAGACCTACTCCCATGCCACGCTGGAAGATGGACACCGGACTGAATGACTCGCGCCCCAATCTCAGGGAGCAACAGCCCAGGGACTTGTCTGGAGAGGAGTCAGAACAAGAGGACTTCAGGACAGCTAGGAACTGGAGTAAGTTTAACCGGGACTCTCAACTTAGGGTGGACCCGAGGCCACCCACGAAGTCCAAGGTGACCTGGCAGGACTTCCAGGCCGAAAGGACGCGGGTTAGGGAAGATGGTCTACCTGCGGACCCACGTAACCCAAAGGAGGAAGATTATGGTGAGCAGAGCAACACTTTCAGCTGAATAAGGCTACCCCCAGTGGATCGCTTGCGGGGTAACCAGATGGGGTGGAACCCTAATCTCAGGTACCACGATAACCGTAGGGGTCCCGAAGTGGCAAGGGAGGAACGATACCCCGAACCCCTTTGGCCCACTTCGGGTGGGGAACGCCGGAGCCGATCCCCTCCGCGACAACCGCAAAATCAAGGACCAAGGTATGCCAGTGTCTTTCCGAAACATCCAGCTGACCTAGGCATGGATCCGGAAAGACCCTTACCCCAGGCTGGTAATCGTGAGGACCAAACGCGGTATGGTGACTGTAGAGAGGAAGCCACCCAAGCCAAGGCCGTCAAAGCCCTGCAGAATTGGGGACTGCGTTACACGGGTGAAGAACGCGTGGAGGACCCTGAGGAATTTCTGAACCGTTTAGAGGACTGTTGGGCAAGTGTGGGAATAAGTGACCGCGCTCTCTTGGGAGCACTACTGTGCGTTCTGCTCAAGCGAGCAGCGCGCTGGTTCAGGACAAACCGACGAGACTTTGCGACCTGGGAGGTATTCTGCGAATCGTTTAACAGGCAGTTTGGTGGAGAATACCAGGAGGAGGATTTACTCCAGGACTTGTACGCCCGGACCCAAGGAAAAACGGAGAGGATCTCTGTATTCTTGACGAATTTCTGACTCATTGCCGCCAAGCTAAAAATTCCTCTGTCGGAACGGACTCTGGCCGACAGGGCCTATCGGAACCTCTTACCAGAGTACCGAAGAGCCATGGCAGACAAAGTGATCTGCCATCTGGAGGACATAGAAAACTATGGACGGCGTTGGGAAAGTCAGAAGGACTTGGATGGACGGTACCGCCCTCCCCCGGGCATGGAAACCATGCACGTCCAGGGGGCGGCTTATCTGAACCCAACGCCACGGACCAGGATATCAGAAATAACTGAAGTGACTAAACAACTGGAGGGGTTGAATCAAACTCCACCTAACGGTAACATTGAGAACGAGGACTATCAGGGGAGTATTCCCCTGAACTCAGAACAGGACGCGCTTTTGGCCACCGTACTACTCAACCCGGTTAATGAAGACGCCTATGCTCAATTGGCTGCTCTAAGGGCCGAGGCCTACGCCAACAGCCAACGACAATCACCAGGACTATTCCCTAGGACGACCAAGCCGGACTGGAGTAACAAGCCTGCGTGGAGGCAAGCGACAAGCCCCGCGACGGGAACGGCCGCGCAATCCAGCGCCAAGGAATCCGATAGCTCGTTTCTTGGGGCATGCTTCCTATGTCGTGGAGTAGGGCACCGCTCTGCCCAGTGCCCCCTGGTGCAATGTTTTATATGCGGCGAGAAGGGTCATTTGGCCCGCCAATGCCCAACAAGGATTATCGGGACCTCGGATAGCTGTAAGAACTGTGACACCCCAGGGTACATGTTCAAGACGTGCCCAAATTGCGAGGAGTCCAGGAAGAAATTGGGAAACGGGAAGGCGGGGGACTCGATTCGATAGACGTATCCACGTCCCCCGCAGTACTGTTGAACGAGTTGTTAGGGGACTCGATCGGGATGGACGAGGACAAGGATCACTATATCAAGCACATCGGAGGGCTAACTCAGTCCGGAGATACATCCGATGCCGAGAGCTCCGGCTCTACCTCGGGCAGCGAGCTGGAGGACTTATCGGACAAATACCGGGAAGAGGCGGTATGCGTAATTCGCGTAGAGGACATAAGAGCCGAGGCCAAGAACTATATGATCGTCGTGCTCGGAGGACAAACATTTCGAGCGCTGTTTGGCAGTGGCGCGCAATCTTCCATTGGCGGAAGCCGCCTAGCGAAGTTATTCCAGTCACGGTTGGTTACAACCAATTTGGCGACCGAAAATGTGAATGGTGGTATTACCCCAATAGAGGAGAAATCCCGTACAAACTCCCCGTTTCAGGAGCAGAATCCAAGAGGACGAGGGACCCGGAGGACGTACGAGACGAGGCAATCTACTTCTTGCGTACCCCCCCCCCTTTTTATTTCCAGGTACAAAGGCAAGTGTGACAAATTGATTTCTCTGGTACACAATGTACTGATGCCCTAATTAATTTATTTATACATTAACGCTGCTTTCTGCTTATACATACATCGTATCCTACTTATTTATACCTAGCTATACGCACTGTCCACCCAGGAACTTTAAAGGCAATAATAGAAAGAAGCTATTTGAGCACTCTCGTGGACTGAGCATTTTTTTCATGACAGTTCAAGTATTTTGTCACCAATTTTTCTGCTAAAATCACGACAAATCACACGAGTTACTATTAAATTGAACAAATCCCGATAACGAACTACATTAAATATTTATATTCATTGTTTAGACATTTTTCATTTTCAGGCGTAGTGGTACACTTAGAAAACTTACCTGGATGGCACTATCACGTCACTAGATTTGAGCATTGTATCATAAACTAAATTTTTCTCTGCATATTGACTCATTCATGACTTGTAAACTATTACGTGAGTCTTGTTTTTTGTATTAAAGATACGTCAAATTAATGACCAATTATGGAGTATTAAATACAAAACTTACGTGATATCTTTCTTAGAACTAATAAATGCCTAAATTGTAAGGCCCATTTTTATTTGGGCCTCGTATTAAATTAAGACAAAATTTAATACAGCTTGGCTTAATCACCAACAAACCAAAATTTTATTTATTTCAACAAAAACAGATAACTGGTACCCTATGGTATATTCATGCAAACAACAATACCCCACATGAACTAAAAAGGTACTCAGATACACAATCACTCCTTTTTTTCCGTGCACTGAATTTGATAATTTTATACTGAAATAAAACCTCTTAGCCTACATATCCCAATGGATTGCTAAATTTCATATTTGATATTAATGAGCAAAAGAAAATAACACGATCATTAATGCCTTGCAGGATCAATGCGGTGTGTTAGCTAGGTAGCACGGTAGTACAACGTATGAGAACATTTCAAGGCAAGACGGGCAATTCAATCTAGAAATAGAGACAAGTATGACTGCAAAGCCATCACTAGGGATTTATTACTTGAGCGATGAAGGATTATCACGAAGAGTAGCTTGTCTCATTTACAAAGTCAAATGACCCCTTTGACTTACAAAAATTCGATGGAAAAACCAAGTAGAGATGATAGAGTCATAATAAATGTGGTCTTGCTTCTTGCAGGAATGACAATGACCAGGACTCCAAACTCATAATCCACAAGGTGCTGCTTGAGTTCGCTTCAACCAGATCTCTTAAAAAACAATTCCACTTGCATTCCTGCTTTTGTCCCAGCCTTATTTTTCTTCCTTTGTCATGCCACCTACATCACTGCCTGTTTTTGTGCGTCTTTGTACCTCCTCACCCCAGGTTGTGGCCCTACGCGCTCACGTGGTACTAACTATTTACACATAATTCCCATATATCCATTATAGTTTTATTATGAGAATAAATTAAATAATATCTTGTTAAACAATAATAAAGATTCCATTGTCATTGTCTTTTGAAATAACACAATCAGTCGACAAGTTCAGTTATTACTTAAGCAAGAAAGATGAAAACAAAACAGATATATAAGTAAGTCATATGTTACCATGCAACAGTATCATTCAACTTTTTTTCTGTTATTTTAAAATCATTCTAGCCTTATTTTGTGGTTTTTAATTCCAGGAATAGATGCTTAATCTTTTTTTGAGGTTATACATTTGTTTTCCCATGAGCACAAAGACTTTCAGGCGAAAACTTATTATCAAGTGTAATGTGTCCCAACGGGCACAAAGTACGACAAAGAAAAACATTGTTCGCACGTCAGGCATAGACACACAAAAACTTAGCATTTTGGCTGAAATTTTTTTACTTGGCACCCATAATACATACAGAGCCCTCCACCAATACAATAGGATTGTGGTTCCCAACAAAATGGTCTGAAGTTTCAATATAATACAGTTTATTTCTTTCTGAACAAAAGTTACCATGGACGCAAGAGCCGAAAATGGACAGTTTTAGAGAGGATAATTATTTAAGTTGCCGATTTTGGAAAAGAATTGTTTTACAGGCAGCGCAGTTTAGTACAGACAATGAATATAGCTCGCTTGATGTGCAGATGTATCATCGGAAAAGGTTCTGTCAAGTGGACTACCATTCTTGACTATCAACGGGCACAATATAAGATTGTTCTAATTTAGCCAGTAGTAGCGTAGCTCATTGGCATGATTATCTTGTATGGTAGATGAACATCTGAGTAGTAAAGTAAAATCTCTAGTATGAGAAGGTGTTCATCGTAAGTAAACGATAAATAATTGGCTTTATAACTTTTTAACTGTAGAAAGCTGAAAAAATACTTAATCAGGTTCATTCGTATAAGTTGTCATCACAATTATTCTTATTCGAATAGATAAACCGATCCTACTTTACAACTACATATCGATTATTTAACAACATTATTATTTATCTTGGTATCTTGAACCTTTTGCTGTGGCAATGATTGCTGATTTCCAGACACAAGATCAAGTTCTTCTTGGACAAATAATTGTCTCTTGCGACTCTTACTACCTTTATCCTTACAACTTTTTTTTTTCAAAATGGAAACATGTTATTTTGAAACTATAAGGAAATTGTTGAGATTCGTTAGTAAAACAACTATTTTGGTTTAATAAATAAAATACCCAATGTTGAATCCTGAAACTTAATAATTAACTTAAATTTATTTCAGCAGCTTATGATTCAATTCTGTTTTTTAACTGTCATACTTATTTAAGCATGCCAATTGTGTAAAGCATTATGATTCAGTAACTCTAAGTATCTGCTTCAGTACTCTTGCTAGTCATGGCACCATTAGCCTTTCAGTCTGGTTTTCCAAATTTGATAGGCAGTATACTACTTTTTGACTAGATTTTACTGATTTTAATGTGTGCATAATCTCGTCTCTGATTTGATAGTGGGAATTTCATTGTAATACCCCAAGATCGACCGACGATATCCCCAAGGTTTTTTACGTGTAACTTTACCAAATTCCAGTTGTCACAGTTTCCCACGCAAATATATTTGATGGCGTGTTTTTTTAACGAAAAACACTGTCTGATGTGATTATCAGTAGTGCCCAGCTTACATCTTCGATAAGCTTTACTCAAAGCTCATAGTTAAAGTTTCCGGTGCGGGGTTCGTCTATTGCGTGTTTCTTTAGGAGAAACACGGTTAGGAAACTGTATTACGTCCAAACTATCAGTAGTACTCAGCTGATATCTTTTATAGGCTTTACTTTTGGCCCAACATCAAAGATGACACAACTGACATTGTTTGACAAACTTTTTCTTTGCGAGAAAATTGTCTAATAAGATTTGCAGCAGTGCCCAGCTGATATCTTCGACAAGCATAGCTCGAGGCTTATTGTCAAAGTTTTCCGCTCGAAGATCTTCGATAACGTGTTACTTTGCGATAATTACTGTCTAATTAAACTAGTTCTTACGGATTTTCTGCCGTGTCTACCTAATATACGTAATAAGCTTCACTCGAGATCCATCGTCAAAGTTTTAAGTAATAGGATATTCGATAACTTTTTATTTTAAGATAATCACTGCTAAATAAAATTAGTTCGTGTAAATTTTCAGCATTATCTACCTAATATCTCCGATAAGATCGATTCTTGTTTTAAAGACAAAGTCTCCCATGTGGGACTCATCGACAAGGGTAAGGCAACTGTTGTTCATGGAAAGTTTTAGGAGAACTACAGCTGATATCTCCGATTAGCTCGCACAAAGATCAACGTCGAAGTCTCCTGTGCAGCAACGTTTCATAACTTTTTCCATACTTTTTCTTCTTTGCAGGAAAAATTGACTGACAACATCTGTTTCATCACCAGAGCTCAAGGACCATTGTCAAAGTTTTTCGCGTGGGGATCTTTGATAGTATATTTTCTTCGCAACAATCACTTTCTCAAAAAAACAGTTTTTGCTGATTTTAAGCAGTACGTACCCTTCACCCCTGTAAGTTTAACTCTTCGTTTAAAGTCAAAATTTTACGCGTGGAGACATCTTTCAGTGCCTAAAAACTTACATAAATCAGCACGGAAAGTCTTTCTTGGCTACGAAGAATGATTATATCATCATTATGTATAATTTTACTGTGTTCTTAACTTGTAAAAAAAAAACAAATGACAAAGTTTGAGGTTCAAGGTCTAGCATCATGTTTAATTATATTTTTTTTACTATTGAAAAGATACAGTTATTTTTTAAATGCACTATATTGATTAAGTTCAAAGAAAAGATCATACTTTTCTGTATAATAACTGTATAAGTCCTGACATTTACCACTACTCACGCGGTTTGCAGTGTGAGGACCTAAAAATAAGAAAATTAAAAGTCGACACAGGTTAAAAACAGCCTCAAAATCTAGCTTCAATTTTTCAAGCAGAAAGAGCATCATCATTAACATAAATACGGACCATTTTATCACTGGATTTTAATTATGTATAAGTACCTATAGTTTCTCAAG